AAAGTGAGAGGAAGGAGAGAGAATAGAAGAGAAACACGAGAACACAAGTGGTTGAAAGGAGGGACAGATTCTAACAGATCTGCCGCCGCCACTCTCTTAATATTTATAGGTTATGTTTAGTACATAATGGAAAGGACACATTTGCCCTTAGTACTTACATAATAAGTAAAGTAAATAAGAGCTGAAATAAATAACAACTGAATTAACAAACTGACTCAAACTGACACTACTATAAGTGAAACAAATAACTACACTGTTGTCCTACGAACACAGTGGGGACCACTGCAATGGGGCYCACATCAGTGTTCTCTACAATTCTATTCAAGAGGAATAACATTCAGATATTACCTTTGTTGATAAGTAAAATTGAAGTTTGTCTAGAAAGCCAACTCCATAACTAGGAGCAAGTCCATGCTGCCATAATAAATGTGATCTAGTCGGGTGAATAGGGTTATCTCTGATCCTTTTTCAGAGAAAATTTTCTTTTTGTGCATCTGTTCAAGTACTATATGAATAGAAAAACGGGTTATCTCTGATCCTCTTTCAGAGAAAAATTTCTTTTTGTGCAGATGCTCAAGTACTACATAAACAGAAAAACTTGTATAATATGAATATAGGGTTTTCCCTTCTTGTCTTGTTACATTACTTATTGCGAAATGAAAAAAAAAAAAAGGAAAAGTAGAAAAAAATCCACTATAAATGTGAAAATGGATGCAGTGATGAATTTCAATGATGGTCCTAGCAAACCAGGGCCTTGGGTAGACTGCATATGGACCTAACCTTTGGCACTTTTCGCACAAAGTGATTGCTTTCTGACTTGAAGACATACTCTCACATATGTTAGCTCAAAGTTTTACCTTTGCAGCAAGAAATGGTAACTTGTCCTAATCTGTCTGCAGGGGATAAATGATTCAGTTACAGCTAGGACTTTTCAAGTGCACACATCAAGGCATGTTGGGAAGGAGTATTTTGAAGGTATAACTTAGGTGCACCTAGGCTCATAGGCAAGGCTGATTTTGTAGAGTATGTTTCACCTGAACCCAGGTGCAGCACACCTAGCATGTTGCTATATTTCGATGAAGTAACTTGAATTTGATGTTAAATGAGTAATTTACTATATTATATGATTTTGTTATTGGTTAATAACAGAGATAAAGAGAAGCAAGCACAGAGAACACATGTATTTATGTGGTTCAGCTTATAGCCTACGTCCACAGGTGAAGGAGGAACAGAAATTCACTATGTAGTCAGCAATGGAGAAGAAATACAGAGTTGTGCACTCACAACCTCACTCACAGAAAACCCTAAACCCCAAAATACACACAATGTCTTTCTCTTCTCTCACAAGACAAAGACTAAGTATACAAGAGAGAAAACCCCAAAAAATACATAACTCTTCGTATTCGGATCAGACCTATAAGCTGAATATGGATCGGGTCCACACCGCCGCGGGGACTACGCCCCCACACAAGCCCTACGCTTCCACCACAAACCACTATGAAATTTTGCCTTTGGGTTTTTCTCAAATTATTTCGGAGTGGATTCATGAAGCAGATCGCCACAAAGAATTCAAGGCACAAACATAACAACAATGTTTTAACCAACTGAGCTAATAGGATTTTGTTTCTTCTAGAATTTTTTCATCGGCAACAGAAAAATATATTTTATTAAAAAGAAATAAAGTTACATCTCTTGAGTAGCCTCAGCTACCCCAGTAAAGCTTAAAACAGCAAAGAACACTTTCTTAGAGTAATAGAGCCCCAAAACAATGCCCTCTATTAACCGCTAAGTTGTTTGCTGTCCTAGGAACCCACTGAAAAACAACTTGCTTGTCCCTAGAAAATCTTCTGAACTTTTTAACCTCACTTATGAAGTACCAGGAACCTTATCATTTTGTTCTAACCAATTTATGATCACCTTCAAATCTCCTTCTAACATTAATTTTCTGATTCCCATTTCCCAGGCTTTATGAATCCCAAACACCACAGCCTTCAGCTCAGCAACTGTGAGTCCCCTTCCCCTATTTTATTTCTTCCAGAATTTAGATGGTATATAAAATAGAATAAAAGAATAAAATAGAAGATAAAGTGGAGGATTAATAACACTTTATTAAACCTAATACAACTAAATAACCAAAAAAAAACAACTCCCAAATAAACCAAAGAAAATACAAAAACTCAAATTCGTCAAGACTGGCACCCTATAACTTAAGTGGTTATAACTCTCGCAGAACATCTTGGATTTAGAAGATATTGATCTTGTTGGATAGATAACTCCATAACCTATCTAATGGCATTCAAAGCACACAATACAGACAAGTTTTTGACCAACAAAATATGAGCTAAAAGAAAAGTGGCACACTTGCATCTTCAACTTTTCAACTCTAAAACAACATTTTAAGCTGACTTTGCCCTAATTAAAACTAATGAATTATAAAATACCATATTTACTTTTTCTCAAAAAAACACTAATAAATTATAAAATAACTTCTAGAAAATTCAAATGACCAAAAAATTATGAAACTGCGACTGATGCCAAAACTTTATAAATTTGTTTTTGCTTTTATGAATTCTTTCCTATTTCATGTCTGCATCAATTTTCTTATGTGAGTCAAATGTAAGTTTCCAACACCTTGGTTCTTATACATATGAACGAAGAAAACAAAATCATCCTAGGAGGCTTCAAAGTGAAACAAAATATATGCAACGTTATGTTTAATAATAATAGCAGTGCAAATCAATAAACAGCATGTCCAAACAAATGAGTGTGGCAGAAATGTGAATAAAAATGTATTTATTCAAAAGAACCCAGGAGTAAATCCAATAAGTGATAAAATGAGGGAAAGTAGATTAAGGTGGTCTGGTTAAGCGCAAAGAAGACCATCTACAGCACCTATAAGAAGTCATCTATTACAAGTTGAAGGAGCTAGAAGAGCTAGGGGCAGACCAAAAAGGACATTGGTTAAAGCAGTTAAAAATGATTTAAGAGTAGATAATTTAACAATGGATAATGGAACTGAACAGAACAGAATGGTGGAACAGGATTCATGTAGCCAACCCCATATGGTTGGGACAAGGCTTAGATGATGATGATGATTTATCATCTATGGACATAATTCCAGCTGAAATATACTGAAATTTCAGTAAATTTAATGAAAATTCAGAGAAATCATATCAATTCACATAGTTGTATTTTCTCTTAAGTCAAAAACCCTGTGTTGCTTCAGTTGATCTCATATGTCCAGTAATATGCATGTTAGAGTCACACCTCCAATTTAATTATTTATTACATGTATCACAGACATCACATTTAAATCAATAATGCTAAGTGTAATATTAGTTTGACATATGAAGACAAAATGTCTCTTTTTCTCTTTTATGAAGATTATATTTCTACATGACCTTTACCCAGAAAGGTTGAATATGAACAACTTGTACCACATTTATAGAAGTAAAGATTTATACTTTTGTGAATCTTTTACCACCAAAAAAAAAGATTTATATTTGGGTGGTATACATGTATAGGATTATAGATAAACAGAGTGCAAGTTTTAGGTGCAGTTCCTGAGATTAAAAGTAAATGAAGTCATATTATAACTTAGCACCTTGATAAAGCTGAGAGAATTGCTGCCGCAAAACCCTTCTCATGACCTTATTTGAGGCTGTCCTTGGAAGAGATGATACAGGCACAACAGCTGAGACCTGCATCCATTGACAACATAAATCAAGATATCTGTATTTTAAGTGTGTCATGGTTACAGCTTAAATCCAACTTTGTTGAAAACAAAAACACAATACCCTGAACAAAGGATTCAGTTTTTTCTGCAGTGAGGAGTTGAATTTCATCTTCAATTGATCCACATCTGGCAAGCTATTTGAATCCTTGAAAACAACAGCAATGGCCAATTTTTCAGGACCACCTCCAACTGGTGGCACCCCAATGGCTGCTGTCTCAAGGATAGTGTCGTCAACTCCATTACAGATGCGCTCAATCTCAATTGAACTTACCTGAAAGAATCATTTGTCTAAATAAGATATCAAGAGCTATAGTAAGCACAGGGAAAGTAATCTCATAATGCAAATGCAGACCTTGATTCCCCCAAGATTCATTGTATCATCCGCACGACCATGTGCTCTATAATATCCTTTAGAAGTGCACTCAAACTCATCTCCATGCCTCCGAAGAACCTACATGAGGAAATTCATCAAAGACAGTTTTGTCATACAAAGAAACCTCATTCACTAAAGATGTTCAGAGATTGGAATACCTTCCCATTCCACATGGGCATTCCCCTGAAGTAGACATCATAATGATTGGCATTGAGCAGTGTATTTGAAGCTCCAAGCATGATAGGAGCAAGGGCCAGTTCACCAATTCCTGGTGTGTTTTGCAGCTACAAACAATGAAGATCTCATAATTAGCTTGAATGATTTGTTAACCACCTATTACACATATGGCTCAAGTTATAAAAAATGCAAGTTGGAATTGATCATGGTGACTCTCCCAAATAATTACATCCTCATTTGTTAACATATAGCATATAACGTACATACATACAATAGATTAGAAATCTGCAAAGAAAAGAAGAGTTTCTTGTGGAAGAAGAGAAAGAGGAGAAAAAGTTGATAAAGAAAGAGAGCAAATCAGATCTGGCCGCCCTCTCCCATTGGTATTTATACTTTAAGAAGTAAAAAATAAGAACAATGACTAATATGCCCTAATAGGATGGCTAACACATAAAACTGCATGAAAAACTTAAAACATCACTCCAAAGGGTCCCAATAAGAGTGTTGTGGTCCCCACTTACTATCTAAACAAATAATAAACAAAAACAACTAACAAATCTGCATAAAATCCTCAAAATTCCCCCTCAAGTTGGGAGTAAATGTCACACATTCTCAACTTGCGTAGGTCATGTTCAAGCTTGTTTTTTGCAACCCCTTTGGTGAAGACATCAGCTAACTATAACTCAGAGGAGACACAAGGCAAGCAGACTTCTCTAGTTGTCGCCCTTTTTCTTATGAAGTGTCTATCAACCTCAATGTGCTTTGTCTTGTCATGCTGCACTGTATTGTGGGCAATATTGATTGCAACTTGGTTGTCACAATATAACATTATGGGCCCCTCTGCATCTATCCCAATCTCACTCAACAATGATCTAACCCAAAGTAATTATGAAACACCATGGGCCATATAGATCTATGGCCCATGGTGCAAACCAGATTTCCTCCCACAAAGGTGCAAACCCTTATTGTAGATCTCCTGCCATCTAGACGACCTACCCAATCCGCATCTATATAGGACCCCAGTTTCAAGTTCTCATGATTTGATAATAGAATTCCTCTGCTCGGATGCTTCTTCAAGTATGCAATTATCCTACCAATGGCTTCCCAGTGTTGAACCCGAGGAGCATGCATATACTAGCTCACAACACTAACAACATAGGAAATCTCTAGGCATGTCATATATAAATATAGTAGCTGGCCTACCATCCTTTGACATCTTGCAACATCTTTAACCAGCTCACCATCTAAAGCATTAATCCCGTGGTTCGAGTCAATAGGAGTATCATCTAGTTTAACTCCTAGTTTCTCAATTTCCTACAATAGGTCCAACCAATGTTTTCAAAATCGTGCGATTCATGATTTGAATCGTACCAAATCGGGGCTAAAACGATACAAGTCGTATATATAAATCATTTTTTGAATAAATCATACGATTTGTAAGCAAATCGCTAGTGTAAATCGTAAATCGCGATTCTTGGATGATTCATACGGTTAGAGTTTGAAAGCTTAATTTAAGATTAAATGACCATTAGTAGAAGATCAAGACTGTAATCAGTCTTGAATCCTAATAGGTTTTAGGTTTGCAAAACAGAAGAAAAGTGAGAGAAAGGAGAGAGAATAGAAGAGAAACAAGAGAACACAAGTTGTTGAAAGGAGGGACAGATTCTAAACTGATCTGCAGCCG